TCAGCACATTTTCTCTTAAATACATTTGAAGTAAAACAGAAAAGACATGAAGACATAGAAATTTTGGGGATTTAAGGATTCAAATAGTGTATTGATGACAATTACAGAAGTTGACAAAGACATTTTGCTGCTTGACACCACCATTTTATAGGTTGTGCTGACAATGTAATGGTAAAATTTCAATATTTTTATGATTTTTATGATTGTCATACTGTGATGGCCATAAGGATGTGAGTCACAGACTAACTACAGAGACCATATCCAGACACTACGCTCTGAAATCTACTGCTACCTTTGCACCAAGACCAGGCTGCCCATGAGTTGCTCCCAGTCGGTGACTGAGTGTGCCGCTATATTAAGGCAGAGAGGGAGACGATGGACTCCTTGATGGCTGGCTTGGCTCAGGCTCCCCCATCGCCTTGCCAAACTTTCCTTAGACATTGAGGCAGTCTGAAATGCTTCCACCCAACCTTCCTTCCCTCGTCTCTTCCGTCTCTCTGACAGCTCTCTCAGCCTTATTGAGCTCCCTGCCCATTCTCTCTCACAGGCATTTCCTCTAATAGAATCCTTCCACATTTAATTTAATTCCATTTTGGCACCTGCTTCTCTGAGGACCCAGACTAACACACAAATAATCAATGAAATAGTTTTCATGTTTGCATATCTGCATGGCTTAAAACCATACTACGTTCCATCTCTCTCTCTGTCTCTGATAATATTTTTGGAGTATTTTCTAATTATAAAAGTAACACATGCTCATTAGACAAAATACAGAAGAGCATTGATGTCTTGCACTCTGCACTCTTTTGTGCTCCTTTTATTTTCTGGTCCTGAGAATTCAATAATAGTAGAAAATTATTTGTGTCACAAAAATCTGTCCTACCCTGGCATGCGGAACCACATTTAAAAGTTCATTCCCAAAGTTATTGGCAAAATAAACTCTGATACATGCTGCTATGCAGATGTGAAGAATGAAAATACAGATGTATTTATTTATGTGGAAAGATATTCATGCTGCATTATTAAATTCATACACCCAAGCAGAAAGCCTGGGAGGATTCACACCAAAATGCTAATTTTGACATTTTGGGTGCTTTTGTTTTCATTTTTTCTTTTTGTTTATCTCTGTTGTTTGAATAATAAAAAGGGGGACTATTTCATTGCCATCCTGAGGTGAAGTGTCTCCTTTGGGGTACTGATGTTAAGGTAGATACCCTATTCTAGGTGCTCCATTGATCTGGAGAACATGACATTGCTTGCTTATCAGTTAAGTCACAAAGTTGACCATCAACTAAAATTTTTGGTTGGCATGCCTGTCACTGTGACATATCTCTCAGGGTAAAATGCTTTTCAAAAACTGTTTTCCTGGGGCCAGCCCAGTGGTGTAGTGCTTAAGTTCACATGCTCCACTTTGGCGACCTGGGGTTTGTGGGTTCAGATCCCAGGCAAGGACCTATGCACTACTTATCAAGCTATGCTGTGGCAGGCGTCCCACAGGTAAGGTAGAGGAAGATGGGCACAGATGTTAGCCCAGGGCCGATCTTCCTCAGCAAAAAGAGGAGGATTGGCAACAGATGTTAGCTCAGGGCTAACCTTCCTCACCAAAAAAAAAAAAAAAAAAAAAAGTTTTCCCATGAAGAAATACAGTCAGTACTAGCTTTTATCAGACTACACCCAGGAGCAGAAATTTGTTCTCCTATTGCTCTTTCTGTGGTGATAAATGAATATTCTAATAGACCGGTTTTATGTTTCTGAAAAACCAGGCACTTTGGCCTGGTAAACCAAAAGTGAGTAACTCTGGGGGCCCAGTTCTTTCTCTAACTACCTGTGAGACATTAGACAAGCCCTCACGCAGCCTTTCTCCAGCACGCCAGATTATGACTTCTGAGATCCCATTCGACTTCTTCATTCCATGATTCCAAATAACCATTTCTGCTTTTTGAGTGGGTGATAACAGCAGGTAGAGATTTGTGGTAAATATGTGCCCTTCTTTTTTCTTCAGAGACTGGTTCCACCAAACAGAAGCCCCCTCGAGCTAGCTCAAGTAAAGGAGTTTTGCTGTAAGTTTGCAATAGACAATCTTATAAGCATCCAAGGCCAGAAACCAAAAGTATGGTCAGACTGCATTGGTTTCAAACCGGAAAGTAAGAAACTAAGGCTATTTATCTAAGTTCTCATGTGTCTTAAAGGAAGCCTGGACAGAGAGAAAATCTATTGGCATTTCTGGTACATCCAAATTCTTTGGTTTCTCTAGCTGATCAGTTATATTATTAAACTTGACTCATTGAAAAACACTGAGGAGGTTGCACAGGCTTTCCCCAGAAGTCAAAAAATCTATATCTATCATCTATCTATCTATCTGTCTATCTATCTATCTATCTATCATCTATCTACCTAGCTATCAATCATCTATCTATCACCTATATATCTATCATCTATCTGTCTATCAATCTATATCTATCTATCATCTATCTATCATCTATCCATCTATCTATCTGTCTATCAATCATCTATCTATCTATCTATCATTTATCTGTCTATTGACTATACACCCTTTGAGGTGCTCAATCATTCATTCCCCAGCTGCCTGGAATGTTGGGCGTGTGAAGAATGTTGTCAGTGATGGCTTACAGATGAAGACCGGAGCTTTGCCCAAGATGACATCCAGTTCCCAGCTGAAATTCATAAAAACTATGGGAAAGAGGAGTTGGAAAGTCAGCACTTTGCTACATCTATGGCTCAGGCATTCTGGAGGATAATTGACAATAGGATCAAGAACTTTCCTTGCTGGGCATACTTGGCCCAGCAATGCTACTTAAATGAATGTATCCCAAAGAACTAATTATGGATGTGCACAGATATTAGCCATCAAGATGTTTATTCAGTTATTCAGTATGTTCTGTTAAGAAACAACCTAAATCCCTAATAACACCAGGGTTTGTTTAGTAATGCATACCATGGAATACAACACAGCCATTATAAATGAGGTTGCATCAGCTTTATTGATGTGAGAACTAATCTCAATGAAGGGCCGAGTGAAGAAGGCATGTTCTGAAATTATGTATAATAGGCCCGTAGTTTTATTTTTTTCAAATCATTATATAAATGCATAGGAAACGCCTGAAAAATTATATACCAAAATACTAGCAGTGATTACCTCTGCAGAGTGGTGAGTGGGATTAGGTAGGATTTTAATTGTATTATTTTTTATTTTATACATTTTTGAATACTTTGTAGAAAAAACACATTTACTGTATTATTGAAAGACCAACAAAATCATTTTAAAAAATAAAGGCCTCCAGTTGTCCTCAATTATAAAATGTGTTGATAAACATATTGCAAAATAAATTATTTTTTTCTCATTAAAGTAACTCAACTTTCAATTAATTCCCATTTCAGACATAGAACCTTAGCTTTCTCTTCCATATATTTTTATTTACTTCCTCTCACATGTATTTAAGTGGAGAAAATATTTAGGTAAGAAAAATAAATTTTTGGCTCTCACACAAAGGCCACTTCCATAGTTAGTATATAACTCAGTGTGGGCCGATGTTCATTTCCAACTTTTTCATAATAAATAACCAAACAGTGGCCTAGTTAATCTTTTATCAATTAATCAAACTGATGAATGTGCCTAATTAAGTTTTTGTGTAATATTCAGCATATGATTTCAGTTAAATACTCAAAGTAAATAGTGTTTAAATTTGTAAAGTCATCTCCAAACTCTTCTTACATTGTTTCACACTTTAAAAAAAAGATTTTACTTAAATGTTTTTTCCTCCATTTCTGTGGAGAGTTCCATTTCTAACTCCCCTCCCACAAAGAATTCCTACTATGCTAAGGAGGTAAGCTAGGCTACCAGTGCCTTTTAATGGTCTTTCCTAAGTTTCTTTAGTTTAGATACTATGCTTAATACCTATCTGTCTTTCCTTAAGGGCCAAAGAAGTTTGGCTTCTGTACAGCAGAAACACACACAGGGTATGTTATTGGTACGCTTGTGTGGGTCCATCTATTGGATTCCTTTAACTCCACTGCCCTGGGGTAGCAATGCAGACAAAGTTACACTTTCAGAAGGAGATGGGTGCCTGTGCCAGCATTCTCATTAACCCTATTTCTCCACTCTCCCCTGGCTTACCCACACACCTCACTTCTATGTGCCAGTGGCTGCAGAGATGAAATGAAATTATTTGTTTAATTATCTTGTGTGACTGCAACATGTAACTTACCCTTTCTCTGAGGAGCAGGGACAATGGTAAATCTAGAGGAGAAATTACTCTGAAGCTTTCAGATTGTTCCTCTACATCCTTGAATAGTGGGTGACCATAGTCACCTTTCCCGGGCACAGACCTGGTGTGTGGCAGCGGTGCCATAGCCGGCTGAGACCAGGGGATTTGGATCCTGGCCCTCCTGCCTCAGCCCATGGCACCCTTGTGAGCACCAGCCATCGGCAGAGAGAAAATTCTCTCAGGTTTGGCATCAAGATACCTAGAATGTCCTGGGAAGTAGCATGAGCACCAAACGGACAGGTGTAAAATATTTGGGGTTTGACTAACTCATACCCAAATCATAAAGGAGAAACAACCTCTGTTTCTGGTGCCACTTCAAGGGTACTGACAAGAAGCATCGCGAGTGTAAGATCAGAGCATCTCTACCCAAAAACAAGTCTTTAGGCACTGTGTGTGTGCCTTTCCCTTTTATTCTTTTATCATTGTTATTTTAGTTTTTAGAGTTTTCTAGCTGAAAACAGAGTAGAAAGGCTTCTTTGTAAAAAAACTCATTACAATTTTCCATATCCTACTTTTCTAGATTGTTCAGAAATCCCCTTTAGTCACAAAAATTCTCCTGCCAACCGTAAACACATAAAGATCTTTTAAACATTCATTCCTCTTGCTTTCTTCCCTAGAAGCATTATATCTTTGATCACATTTTAAAATATCACTAACATTCTAACAACAGAAGTCAAAACTGAAGTAAAATATATTGTAAAAGAAAAAGTTAGGTGTTCTGTTTGTAATATGGCATTTATTTTACAATGCACATATTAGGTCAAATTGTAGAACAAAAGCACATTTTCCCCACATGGAGGTCTCGTAGAGGATGCACACAGGCTACTCTGAATGCAGTAAGCTTTCCCACTAGCTTTCCTATACCTTCCCGACCAGAGGACATACCTACCACTATGGCTTGTGGTGGCTTAAAAAGAAAAACTGAAGCGTATCATTAAGAAAAATGCTGCGAGATGTGTCTAGGAAGAGTACCGCAGTTGTTAAGGCAAGGGGTGTGTGGCCTTCCGCAGGCGGTCTGGGCCACGCCTGGCCTCATCCTCAGAGGAAGTCTCCATTTTGGAAAGCAGTTAGCTCACACTTTCTTCGGGTTTGCTCTCTTTTGGGCGCTCCTAGCTTTAATGTTCTTCTTGGGGCTGGCTGGTTTGGGAGCAGGCGGCTTTCCCTTTGGTTTCGGTGGATTACTACGACTGGTGCGCCCAGCTGTTTGCTTCTTGTCCTGGACTGTTCTCTGCTGTTCCTGCAGCCTCTCTTCCCACTGCTGGGAGGCAATTTGTAAACATGACTATCAAATACATCTCACCCCTTATGCTGTTAAACCAATATCCGAATTAATTTTTTCACTGTAATATGCTAATCATGACAACAATTATAATAGCTACCCTATGTTGTTGAGCACTTATCATGAACTGGACGATTTGGAAAGTGCTCAGTAATATATGATGAAGCCTTGACATGCATTCATTTCATTGAAACTCACAACAGCCCTTCGAGGTGGACACCATTGTCAAGACCAGGAGACAAGCACACGGAGGTTATTTGTAGAAGGTCACACAGCTGATGACTGTCAGTGATGGGATTCAAATTCCCCAGTCTGACTCCAGAGCCCAAGGCCCTAACCATGCAATTTTTCCCACGGGCCCTATAATGCAACATTCCCACACAGCAAAGCCTTCTAGAAAGGCTCTGACATGGCCAAAAGCAGAAATTTATTCAGCCTCACTAGGAAGTCAGGGGTGTCTTACCACACTCATGGGTTCACCTAATTCTCTTACATCCAGAGGAAGATAGAAGCCCCACCCACATCTACTAATCCTCAAGAGTTAGCTACTCAAAACTGATGTGAAAATGAGTCATTCTGGATAGTCAAGTTTCTCTGATAGAAAAAGATTTACTTTCTAAATAGCTGCATATAAGAAAAAAATGAAAAAGTGAGTGCACTTGAATAGACATTGCTTTTTATTATAACACATATGTCTCCACTTTGTTAGAGTATATTTCAATCAGGAAAAAGTTTGAGGATGACCACAGGCCAGGCACTGTTCTAGGCACTAGAAATACAATGAAATAAAAAACACTGTCCCCACCCTCCTGGGGCACAATTCCAGTCTGCTCTAAAATAATCAACTCATTGCTGTACATTGCAAACACATGGTGATACTTTCATATTCTTATGTTGGAGTATTTGCTGCAAAAGTGAATGGCTCCAACAACTGTGATTCTGGAAAGCTTTCTTTCCTCTCAACAATCTCAGGACTTGCCTTCTACATTGATGCTTCTAATCTACTGCAGTCTTGGAAACCAGATAACCAATCCTGCTAGAATCTTCTGCCCAGTAAGACTGAGCATGCTCCTGAGCAGCTCATGGGTTTTTAGCTCAGATCTAAGAGTCGTGTTTGGTTCTGTTATTCAGAAATGCACTGACTAGGAGAGGCTGTGTTGAAACTACCTTCCCCATAAGTCAGTATCAATATTCCCTCTCCTCTTGCCCAGGAATTTTTATTCATGCAAACTAAGAGAACACAGGTAATAGCAGTGCCTCTTATAAATCTGAAAAAACAAATTCTCCTGAATAAATCTAAACATATTTTCAGGAGAGGGGATGCTTTAAAAATTTCAAACCAATGACCTGATTTCTTTAGTTCCAGTATGATTTCACATCTCTGGGCAAAAGATTATTCTAACTCCTCTAATTGAATTACCAATAATTCTATGATGTTACCACTAAAACTATAGGTTTGGCCACAAAATAATTACTTTTAATTTATTTATTTTGACGAAAGCCTTAAAATTATTTTAAATACAGGGAAAGATTCTGCTCTGTACAGTGTCAGTGTGAGTTGCAGAGCTAGGTATTCACACCCCTACATGTATGTGTCTGTGTTAATCCCACTGACTATTAATTCTGCTCAAGTATCTGACTGTTGGGTAAAAAAATTAAATGTAATACAATAAAGAAACCAAAAAACTAATTTAATCTGGAAATAACCAGTAGATCAGTACTGAACACAACCAAATTGATTTTGAAGTTAAAAATTCCAAGTGAGAATAGCTATACCCTTAACTACCTATTCAAAAGACAAATTCCACTGTTATTGCTGGCTCTTATGACAGCACAGAGATGAAAGAGTGTGAAGAATTCCCAAATTCTATAAAATTTCTTTACATGCACTTAAATCCACATTCATAGTATTGCTAATTATACTTACTACGGATCTTTTACTCAGTTGATCTCTCCATTTTTCAACTAAACAATTTTCAAGAAGCATCATCCTGAAAAAAAGTAATTTGTCTTAATAAGCAACTTCTGATTATGAAGGCAAAAAGTTTAAAAATACAAAAAATTATAAAAACCAAAATTCTTCAATGACCCTTAGCCCCACAACCAACTATTTCTGTTTTATTGACATTTCCTTTCATTCCTTCTTGTACTTGTATACATATATTTAGATCACATTGTATATTTAGTCATACTATACATTTCCTTTTATCATTGTATTATATGTATTTTCTGATATAATTAGAATAATTCAAAGAATATAATTTTAATATCATATAATATTACAACTATGGATATCTGTAATATATTTAAGAATTTCTCTACTGTTGAACCTCCCTCGTTTGCTTAGCTATTATTACCAGTGTTTCATTGAATATCCTTGTGTATACTGGTGAGCACTGTCTTATTATTTCCTTAGGACAGATTTCTGAAAGTAGACTCACTGAGTCAAAGAGTATGTATTTTTTTTTTAAGGTTTTTCAATGCATAGTGTCAAATTGTTTCCAAATGGTTGACTCTTCATTCAGTTGACTAACATTAAGACTAGGTAAAAATGGAATCTTGTTTTTATTTGGATTGGAGAATTAAGGAAGTGAATATTTTAATGTTTACTTACTATCCGTATTTCTTCTTCTGGAATTTGTCTGTATAGATTTATGCACATGTATTTCTTAAGTGTAGTCTTAATGTTTTAAATATTAATTTATATGAACTCTTCATAGAGTAAGATTACTATTGTTTTGTCATACCTGTTGCAAGTATTTTTATTTGTATCTCTCTTTCTATTTGCGATTTTTATATACACAATATTATGTCATCAAATATGCATACTGATATTTTCCCTTATAATTTCCTACATTGCTTGTATCTTTAGAAAGTATTTTGCCATTCAGTTATCACATATTTATTTACCTAATTTTATCCTCTTTGATTAAGTTTTTAAAACACTTATCTCTTTAATTCATTTGAAATTTATTTTATAGTACAGTATAAGGTTAAAATATGTACTATTTTTCCAAATAAAAATATTTGCAACATTTACCAAATAATATTTTCATTTCCTATTGATTTGCCATATTTCCTTCATAATATAAGTTCTTTTATGCATTAGAATCTGTTTCAAGACTTTTCCTCTGTTTTATTTATCTACATGTCTACTCTTGACCACATGGATTTAACAAGTGTAGCATTATACCAGTTTTGCATGTCTCAGTAGGCAGATTTCCTCTCACACCTCTTATTTTCAAAATCTCCTTTACATGCTCTTACTAGATTATTCTTCCAAATGATCATTAGCATCATTTGTGCAGACATAAATACTAATCATCCAAAAAATTTTTCCTGGATTTTGATGAGAATTACATTAAATCTATAAACTAACGTGGGAAATATGACAGGAAAGCTGTTATTTAATTCACTTAGGATCCATTTATCTGTCCAAATAGAATTTAATGACTAGCAACCTGGTACATCCCCAGAACTGCATTTAGTACCGCAGCGGATACAAGCACCATGGAAGAGACGAGCCCAGAAACATTCATTCAACATTCACTCATGCAGCTGCTTTGGAGAGATGAGATGTAAGTAAAAGAACAGCTGTAAAGCCAAGAACACGAGGCGATTGATGTGGTGTGAGGAGGGTACCCAAGTACTGAGAGGCACAGAACAAGGAAGAATTCAAGCGACTGCAGTTCAAAAGGTGGTTTTTTGTTTTTAGTTTTTGAGAAATAGTCTTGAGCTACATCCAGAAGAAACAGATGAGCATTAATGGCAGAGAATCAAAAGGAAGAGTTGTTATATAAAAATGAGTAATTCTGCTAGAGAAGTGTATTACAGCAAGTTATCAGGCTCCTCCTGGAAGCTGCGCTGAAGTGTTTGATTTTCATGTTATAAAGAATGTACCGATATATGAAAAGAAGCCAAGGAAAGAGGTGTGGAGAGACACTCACTCGTAACTAGAGATCTGAGTATGTGTGCGTGTGCACGTGTGTGTGTGTAATACTCTAGCAAACAAACATTGTAAACTAAGTGTATATAAGGAAAACGTGTGGAACTGTAGTCTCAAATGGCTATCTTTACTTGATCTGTAAGTTATTAAAGAGACCTTAAAAAAATTCAGTATTTGCCACACTAAGATTGATTTGAATGATCTGATTTCACTCAAAGTAATTTATCTGCCTAGAAGTTTTTGAAATCATTTAACGAATTCTGAAATTGATTTTTAAAGATTCCATTCAAATGTTCATACTTCTATTTTTCCTTCATTCTATGAAGAATTAATTGATGTTTAGGATATATGATATTCCAACAAAGGCATCTATTAAAACTGCTTTTTTGTGTGTGTGTGAGGAAGACTGGCTCTGAGCTAACATCTCTGCCCATCTTCCTCTATTTTTTGTCTATGGGACGCATCAGTCCGTGCCCAGGATTTGAACCTGCAAACCCCAGGCCATGGAAGCAGAGCGTGTGAACTTAACCGGTACACCACTGAGCCGGCCCCTAAAACTGCTTTTTAAAACGCTAGTGTCTTTTTTTTTTTAAACCATGACTGTGGAATGGGATTCACATGTTAGTAAGCCATGTGCAGTTTCCTCTGTCCCTCGGTGCCTACCGTGAGCGCCACTCGTAACACATGATGAGAACGTCCTGATGGGGCAGGATGTGAGGACACTGGCAGGAAGAATTCGTAATGAGCGGGACTTGAGTTCGAGGGATGGGAGAAGAGGACTTGAAGATCTCTTTCACATCCACCACTGTGGTCACTTCGTTGCAGCCACTCCTCTGCACCGCTTTTATTTTGGCATGAATGACTGCAATTTAAAAATCGATATAAGTGTTGTTGAAGCCTTTGGGGAAAAATCAGGATGGTGTATTCATGCCAACTCCTGAGCCTCTCTTAAAGAATCACTCCTGTAATTATGGTCATGTCCAAGCTGCCCAAATGCAGGAAAAAGCCCACACAATCATACGCTAAATGTAAGCCTCCCATTTTGTCAACATTGTCCTAAAGGTTCTGAATCAGGCTGCTGGATAGGAAAGCAAATGGACAAGCACGCTTAGTCGGGGTTCTGCCTTTGGGTTGTTCACAGCTCCTCACTGGGCTACAAATAGGGTTTGAACAGAGAATCCTCCTCAGCCTTTGTTGTTCTTAGTGCCTTTGAGCCCATTTCAACACCCACAGACTGTGTACAGCAGAGCAGAATCCTGCCCCGTCTTTTGTGCCATCGTCTTACCTTCCAGTGCTATTTCAGACAGCGCTCTGCTGCTATTCATAGGATTTTCACGGCCGTAGGGTTCTCAGCCCTAAAATTCTATAATTCTAAAATTAGCTTTTTGTTGTTATTGCCAAAAACATACCAGGAAATTTAGTTATGTAGAATGTCAATAAAAATTTCATAGAAACAAATATTTGTTTATATTCTGCTTTGTGATGATTTGAAGTGAGAATCATATATTCTCAGATTCAGAAGCCACCTTAAAGTTTGTACTGGTGCTTGAACTTCCTCTGTTCCAGAGGAAGTTAATAGAGTCATAACATTTTGGAACTGGAAGGAGTCTCTGAAGATCACTGTTCTCAATCCTTTAATTTCCCAGACTGTCAAAGCGAGGTCTGTGGTGAGGAGAGGTAGACTGTTATTACAGATGGCTGTTAATGTCAGTGTGTCTGGTCACGCTTTAAATTCTGGCTTTTTTGGTCCCTTGCTATTACTGCCTGCTGTGGAGTTGTAATCAGCCTAGTACGGATCTCCCTTGGATTCCATCCGGGGAAGCTGGTTTACGAAGGAGCCAAAGGATTTAAATAGAAAATCGTTTCATCACCAAAGTAGTTACGAGGCATTGATGCCCCAGAGGACAGCATGACAGTGACACTCAGATTAGTAACTAAGACCAGAGAGTGTCAGATGAGGGACTAAGTAGATCAGATTAAGATGATATCTATATAGAACAGGTTTAAAAACACAACAGCCAAAAGCGACTAGAAAAGATAGTGTATTTCTTTTTTGGTTGACTTACCCACATTGGCTCTGTATGATTCTTAAATCTGACAACTTAAATTAGAGGTTATTTTTTCAGACTTTTATGTTGCCATGATCTTCCTATTTTCATGTGTAACATATAATATAAAGGTTCTTATCATATAAGATTTCAGTTTGAAATATGGAAAACTAAGTTAGCAAATAAAATGAACATTTTTCCCAAAAGCGTTTCTGTTATTTCAGCAGAAATAATTTAAGAAATGCAAAGAAACATAAAATAGCCTTAATAGATAATTTAAAAGAACATATTTTTAGTTAAATTTACTTTCAAATGATGACAGAATTAATTTTACTTAAAACATTCAAAATAGCATGATTGACTTATTCTTTGAAAAAAGTGCTGACTCGTTCTTTCAAATAAGAAAGAAGAGGGCATTTAAGCTATGTCAATACTTATAGTAGTAGGGTCTTGTGATTCACATAGTCCCACAATTTCTTTAATACGTTAAATATTCATAGCTATTTATAAGTAAAAATATACGTGGGCAGGTCTTAAGGCCTTGGCCTCTGGGCCTCAGATAATCAGCTCCGAGGATCACTCACCCATCCTTCCTGCAGCAATGAAATCTTAGGAAGAGAACGGGTGAGGTGTGCCCTCCTGCCTGAGCAGCACCTTTCACCAAGACAAGGAAATGATGTCAAACTTCTAATCTGACCCACAGCACTGTTCTCACCTGGGTAATTTACTTTGTTTTTACTTGATTTACCAAGAAAAGTAAGAAGTTTTACAGTTGTTATTGTGCCATCTAGGACCCACTAATTAACTAGAAAAATCACCAACCCTTTTCTTTACTTTATGACCAGCAGACTTGGCTTTGCAGTGTGCCAAGTCCCCAAGTGAATGTGTCATCAGATGACTTACCGTAACTGTAGTTTTTGCTCAGGTAATTCGCCAGGGTTGGCTTCACCTTTTTGCACTTGCACTTGTCTAAAGAAGACAAAAGAGAGCCAAAAAGTTGGAAAAGGGTTCAGAAATCACTCTAGGGAGAAGAAAGCGAGGGAGCCTTAAGGATAAAGAACTCACCGGGGCTTAGGCGTTTACAGTCAATGTCAAGGGGCCGTTCCTGTACCATCATGTCTGGCGTGATGTCTATCCACTTAACATCTGAAACACACATAGGGCCACGTGGGTGTGGTCAGTGACTTGGTCTGTTCACCCAGCTGGAATAAGGAACCCTCTGGAGACATAAACTAACACAGCATCACAAAAAGTAATACTAAATGGTAGAAATGGCATGTGATTGTCGACTGCTCCCTTCATATAGACATCTCTGGGCTTAGCAAAGAAGCCTTGGGTGAGACTGCCTATCTAGCACAGACCGATGTGAACGCACGTCCATTTAACCTGGCTGATACAGACAGGCAACCCAGATAAATTACGTCATTCCCTCCCAAATCCATTTTAAAATGTTGATTTTCCAGGTTGACAGTTTACACAAAACAACTAGAACATTTCCAAATCCCCACCTCATATTTTGCAGTGCAGAAACAGTCCACAGCTCCATAACCCCAAACAAGCAGAATTCTCTATCATTTATATAATCTAAGCAATAAATATATTTTTTCTTTTTTTGATGAGGAAGATCAGCCCTGAGGTAACATCCATACCAATCCTCCTCTTTTTGCTGAGGAAGACTGGCCCTGGGCTAACATCTGTGCCTATCTTCCTCCACTTTATATGGGACGCTGCCACAGCAGGGTCTGACAAGCAGTGCCTCAGTGCGCGCCCGGGATCCGAACCTGGGCTGCCAGCAGCGGAGCGCACGCACTTAACCGCTACGCCACGGGGCTGGCCCACAATATGTTTTTTCTAAAACTCCAAATTAGAGAGGAGTTTTGATTTTCCCCTTCACTTTACTTCTCCTCCTTCATGTTTTGGGCAATGGTCTGAGGTATAACTTCAGAAACCACACTAAAGCAACACCATAACTGCTTTAAATGTACAGCAACCTGGGTCAGGGATAAGAGAATGCAAAAATATTCTTAGGTTTCACTTCAAGAAGTGGATTTAAACCTGCTCCTTCTTCCCAGAAAAGCAGCAAAATGACTAAAGAGTAAAGAAGGAAGCGGAAGCTGAGATCCAGTTAACTAAGATGCCGCAGACGTTGGCTCCTGGTCAGACCATGAAACAGACATCCCAATTTTCCAGGGTGACTAAATTTACAGATTGCACTCCTGGTGGGGAGTGATGACTTCGACTGCTTTTTCAGAAAGAGCTTTCAAGAGCTAACACTAGATGGAGAATCCTGGCGGGATTGTTGTAAGGACTAAATGATACATGTAAAGTGCTTAACACTGGCTCAGAGCCCCCCAAAAACCCTATATACTTGCTTACTGCTGCTGCTATTATTATTCTGTTATTACTGTAAATGAAAACGTCCCCAATGGCTCCCTTTGTAGGCACCCCCCCCCCCTTTATGGGACACGGTGTTCTTCAGCTCCCGGAAATTCCTGTAGAGAAACCACACTCTTCCAGAAGTCAAGTCACCAGCCCCTACCAACTTCTCCGACCCTCCGAAGTGGGATAGGAGGCTGACAGACCACCCGATGGCAGCTGTAGGTGTGGCCGCCGGGTTCTCACGTGGCGGCGACAGCCAAGTGTGCCTCCTCACCCCCCAGGTCCTTCCTTGGGCCTTACCGTCCGGGAGGTCAGTGACGATGGCCTCAGGCGAGATGCACACGCCTCGGTCATAGACAGGCAGCTCCTCGCAGGCCAGGCTCTCTGGCCAGCTATGGTTGTACATCTTCATGAGGGGCTCGCAGTCGTCGCGCGCGCGCTGGCACACGGACTTGCACGGCTTGATGGGGTCGTGCAGGAACTCCAGAGTGCAGATGGGCGCGTACATGGCGCAGAGGAAGAAACGCAGCACTGCGCTGCAGTTCACGTCCACCAGCTCCTCGTACTGCTCGATGGCCAGGATGGCGTTCTCCTGCGTGCTGTGGTGCAGGTGGTTGGGCATCCGCGTGATGTTCCAGGGCATGTGCCGGCACATGGGGATGCGCACCGCCTCGCAGGGCGCGCCGCGCACGCCCAGCGCCAGGCGCAGCCACAGGCACAACGCGGCCAGGACGGAGAGGAGCATGGCACTGCCCTCCTGCGCCGCGACCCCGACAGGCAGAAAGGGCCCTTCTCTTTCCGCCCCCTAGTCGCTCTCTCTTCTCGGAGGAGGAAGTCCTTTAGGGCACAGGAGAGGTTCTCTCCCCAAACTCCCGTCGGCAACAATGAGGGGCCGCGGGGGCCGGCCGGGGATATCCGCCGTCCGGCGTACAGAGCTCGAGCAGCGCCAGCCCTCAGCCTCCGGGGCGCAAACCCGCCCTGGCAGTTCCAGTCCTGGACCCGGCAGCTCGGAGCGCAGCCAACCACGGCCATTGCGGGACCCTATTTATTCCGACACCTCCCCTGACGTGGGCTCCAAACGCTCCCTTGGCAGCTGCCGGCGCGGCGCGGGCTCCCCCTCGGCTGCCCCACCCCCAGCCCTCACTTTGCAGAAGCAGTGACATCATCTCCTCCGGGCCACAGCCCTGGGCTGGAATCCTGCATTCCACCAAAGTCCCTCCTTTTTAGTCTGGCCAGTCCTTTTTCTTCGGATCAAGAAAAAAAGCCTCTGGCAGTCATTTTGGTCACCGGATCCAAGGGAGAATTTCAAGAGAGAGAAGGACGCTCTTTTGAGGCAAAGCTGAACTTTGCGCCTTCTTCCTTATAGGTTCCTCCGGTATGGAGTTGAAGGGAAATGGAAATTTCTGCTGCCCTTTAATTCGGAAACACACTTGCTTTCTCCAGTAGGGGGCAGGAGAAGGGCTGAGTGGTGAGACTATTGGGTGAGGCCGGGGTAGAGAATGCAGTAACTGTTGAAACGGTATGGACACATTATGTAAGCAAACCACCCTCCACCCTACCCCAAGTTGTATGGAGTTTGTTTTTGTTATTGTTGTGGCTAGTAGACATTAGTTTGGGCTCAAGTTTTTCCAGAATGGCACTTGGTCTGTACCTGCTCCAGGAACAGAACTGCAATAGCACCTTCTAGTTTGAGAAATGTCTTCCATCAACCAACATTACTCCTTCCTTCTTCTAACTGCCTATTCCTCTCTCCAACATGAATGAAACTAGGAGAAAACAAAGAAAACTTTGGACAACACAATCTGAAAGATTTTCTCTCCCCTTCATGCCAAGTGATTTCCAACCCAGCAGCCTAAAATCTCGATTTTTGATGTGCTTGGAAACTGTTATTTAAATTGACTTAGAAGCTGGGTACCATGGAAAGTAACCATGTATGTTTTGTTTTTTCATTTATCTTATTTTTGTTAGGAAGAGATAGTAAAACCAACTGCTGGCTCAGCTATCCACAGAAAAGGGAGATTTTATTGTTGCAAGTGTACATCAGTCTTCAGGCAGTAAGATTTCTGGTATATGATATTCTCTTAGGGTGTTAGAATATGAAAACATGTTCTCTGAATGCTAATCTTTAAAAAACATAGTTTCTGGAAATCTGAACTTAAGGCAGACAGATTTTTTCCTCTCTAAAGCTTAGACCCACAAAGTTAGTTTAGTTTTGACCCTGATCAGGACTGAGGATGAAAACAGCTCACGGAACAAAGAGCACAACTGACATTTATTGAGCATTTACAATAGGCTAGGCATGCTGCTACCTGCTTCACATGCTTTGTCTTATTTTTTAGGGAACATGATTAAACATGGTAAGTTAAAAGGATAAATGAGACAAATACATTTCAGGATTCACCCAAGGAGTCCAGTTCTATTTAGGGCAAGCCCAGGGCATCCAAATGCAGTCAGGTCAACTAGAGAGGTATTCCAGTTTTCCACAGAACAGATCTCGAGTTCCAATGATGCCAAGCCAGGCTAGTGAAGCATCAAGCAAAGGGGATAGCCCAGACGACATCTCGAGCCATTTCCAGCAGTAAAATCCATTGAGTCTAAACCCCCGGCCAAGTGGAAAATATTTTCAGCCTGAATTCCTACAAAGGAAAAATACAGTTTTGAGGAACAGCTGAATTCCCTACCCCTCTCCTGCGAGTTGGTTGAAGAGGGCCGACTTGGAGAGGGCTCAAACTTTTGCAGCCAGTTTGAATCTGCTGCATTTGTTTAACTGTGAAGTACCAAGTCACAACATTTCAGGTGCTTGATGCTCAGATGGCATGTCCTTTAAGAAAGCGTGAGGAGAAGTTGAGTCCTTCTCCATAAAGCTCTTTACTTAGCCCAGCAGGTCCATTGGCTGTCCGTCCCTAGTGTTTCTACTGAGGGATTCATCAGGAGATTCTGTCCACCAGCCTCGCTCTTTATGCTCTGCTTTTGCACTCAAGCCATTACCCCATACTTAACATTGATTTGCCAAAAGCTCATGTAACTGAGGAATTTCCCCTGGTCCGCGGCTTCTCTCTGATGGTTCCTTTTCAGTCTCCTCAAGGGCCTGCTTCTCTGCTCATCCTTTAAATGTCTGGAGTTCTCTAGTGCTCCATCCTCAGTCCTCCTCTCGCACTCCCCACTACTCCAGGTTTTCTCAACCTCAGCACTATTGACACTGATCATTCTTTATTGGGTAGGGGGCTGTCCTGTGCTTTGTGCGAAGTTTAGTAGCATCCCTGGCCTCCTCCCACTAGACACCAGCGGCAGCTTCCCTTCCACCCAGTTGTGACAATCAAAAATGTCTTCAGATATTACCAACTGTCTCCGGGCCGGGGGGGGGGGTGCAAAATCACCCTAGGTGGAGAACCAGTGTTCTACTCTTTGCCTTCAATTGCCACCTAGATGCCAGTGGCTTCCAAACCCAGACCCCTAGCCCTGCTGATTTCTGGAAGTGTTTATCCAACTATCCTCTGGGTACTTCCACCAGCATATCCCACAGTCATCTCCAAGTCAACCCATCATAAACTGATTTATCTTCTTTCCTCACTCAGGACTGACCTCCCAGTGGCCCAAACCAGAAACGTCTCCCACTGAGTCTAAATCCTTCTCTGTAGTTCCCAACTCTGTTCCACCCTCTCCATAGCTACTACCACCACCTTAGCTCAGACAGTCAGTATCTCTTCTCTGGATTAGGACAGCATTTTCCTCCTCCTCCTCCGTGCCTTCTGCCTTGCCCTACCCATTCTCCAAACTGACAGCTGAGTGAGCTTCCTAGGGCATATATCTGATGACGCCCCTCCCTAGCTTTAAATTTATCCATGGTTCCAACTGCCCTTGGTATTAATAACAAATCTTTAAAATGGCTTTCAAGGCCCTGAGTGATCTGGCCCGATTACCCTCTGCCTTGTACTTGAACTCCAACACTATACCCATTTCCTCTTGAACTCGTGTCCTTCATCCAGGAATGTTCTCTCCCACTTTCCCCTGGCTCATTCTTCCTCAGCCTTGAAATGCAGATCAAATGAAAAAAAAAAAAACAATAAACTTGGAAAACAAGTCATTTTTTAAACAACTGCCTTCATTTTTTTTGATTCCATATTATAGATCCTAACCTTACAAAAGCGTAAACCCAAATAACTTCATCCTTGAAGATGCTGAACTCCCAGACACGAACCTCTAGGCTTGTGGTATTGGCAGGTGATGGGTGAGGGGAGCAGTTTCACTGCGAGTATCACCTTAATGCAATGTCCCTGAGCCCTACACCCAAGGACAAGGGTCTATCCCTTAGTCCCCTAGGCTCCATACTGGGAGTGGGGGCTGGGAAATGGCCGTGATGAATGACTGGTATCATTTCTTCAGGAAGGGACTCTTCTTTCCATTTTTAATTTGGAGGAAGAAGGTGGTAATTTTGACAAAGGGGCAAGGTTTGTGGGCACAGCAAGGGCAGCAGCACTGCTCTCCCAATCTCAACCTTGAAATCGTCCCCCAGTGTGGTTACCTGCCGAACAGAACACTTCTGTTCCTAGAGAAACATATCCCTTCTCACCGTCCCCTCTCCCTTTAAAACCCGGATGCCCTTCAGGATGCTAGTGGCACCACTGCCACTGCATTTCCTGTTGGCAGCAGAGAGCAAGTGGAAACAGAAGCCACCGCGGGCAGCGGCCCCCTGCAGAAGTAGCTCCCTCGCGATTCACCAGAGCCTTCCCAGGCCCCTGGGCCCGCTCCCGGCCTCGCGCGTTCTAATCCCAACAGCTGTAGAGGCCGCCGCGGGGACAGGCAGCAATTTCGGGGACCACACTCCGGCACAGTGCGGGGGAGCCACGCACCACCCGCGCCTGGGTCGCCCTGCGCCCAGGCGGTTCAGCGCCCCCTCGGGCTCGGGCTGGCCTTCCCGGGGCGGCGGGCGCGGCAGACCGCGATGCCAGGGCGCGCTCCCCTCCGCGTGGCCCGGGGTGCCCTGGGCGCCTGGCTGCTGGGCAACCTCTGGGTCTGGGCGCTGAGCGGGCTTTGCGGCCTGGGGGCGGCGGCGGCGCCGCGGACCGGGGTTGGGGTCGGGGCCGAGGGCTCCCCGGGGACGCCGCGCCCGTGCCAGGCGCCGCAGCAGTGGGAGGGGCGCCAGGTGCTGTACCGGCAGAGCAGCGGGCGCAACAGCCGCGCCCTGCTCTCCTACGACGGGCTCAACCAGCGCGTGCGGGTGCTGGACGAGAGGAAGGCGCTGATCCCCTGCAAGAGGTATGCGGGCACCGGGTGGGCGGCCGGGCGGCCCCGGTAGGGCGCGGTCTCAGGCGCTGCGCGAAGGCACTTGATTTCCAGCCCTTCGTGGCGCCTCCTCGCTGCCAAAGAGAAATTGTGCAAGGAGGGTAGCTGGGGGACAGCATGGTCGGGGACTGGGGACGGCCGGCCGGCGGGCACTCTGTGACACCCAGCGAGGTGGCCAGTAAAGAATGGGGCAGGGGCGGGATCGCACTTCTGGGCGCCCCCATACCCAGGTTCGCCCCGGTCCGCACGCTGCTGAGTCAGGCCTGCGGCTGGTGGAGCCCCCTTCAGCCTAGGGCGTGTCTTCTGCACTATTTTCGCTCTTCCAGGAGCCATCTGCCAGGGAGGCACGCAGTATATATATTTTTTAACAATTATTTTTTTGCATTTTAGAGGAATATGACGACACTACAAAAGGTGTGGGGAATCGATCAAAGAAAATGTTACCCACAAACTGATCACCCTGTTACAACTATTAAAAGTTTGGTCTATTCCCTTAAATTTTTTTTTTTTTTTGAGGAAGATCAGCCCTGAGCCAACATCCCTGCGAATCCTCCTCGTTTTTTGCTGAGGAAGACCAGCTCTGAGCTAACATCTATTGCCAATCCTCCTCCTTTTTTTTTCCCCAACGCCCCAGTAGATAGTTGTATGTTATAGTTGCACATTCTTCTAGTTGCTGTATGTGGGACGCGGCCTCAGCATGGCCGGAGAAGCGGTGCGTCTGTGCGCGCCTGGGATCGGACCCCCCCCCCCAGTAGCAGATCGTGCGCACTTAACTGCTAAGCCACGGGGCGGCCCACCCTTAAAATTTTTTAAAGCAACTTTTGCATACTGTGATCAAAAAAACATATATTATCTGTGTGTTTTTTATATAACTTGACAGCTTCTGTGTTCTTATTTGCCATTTTATTAGTTGGCCCCGTATCTGTTTTTAATGGCTGCAATATTCCATAGGCCGGCTATGCTATTTTTTTTTTTAACCACTGGTCTGATAGTTCACCTTTCCACATCTGTTGTGACAAAGAACACCCTCTTTCTGAGACCTCATCTTCCTTCTGACCCCTTCAAGACCTGATTGCTGTTTGGGATCACCACTTGTCAGTTCCACAGCCTTCCTGCTTCTCTGTGTGTTTCCTCTCAGGGTTGTGCTGCCTCTGGGTGTGGTATTTGCATCATTAGGAGGTGCCATGTGAATGTCCATAGGTTAAAGCTCAGTGGGCAGTGAGATCTGCAGCAAATCTTGATATCGTTTCACCTAAAAGCATTTGTTCAAGTATCAGGCAACTCGAAGAAAGTATGGAAGTGTCAGAATCTTTCAAAGCAATGTATTCAAGAGCACAAGATAATACATTATGGAAAGTAAACCTTGAGTGCTGAGGAGACCCGAAGCAGCTGAGTCCTCACGGGCGACTGGGAGTATCCGTGAGGCCTTTCTGGAACATGAATGCTTCTGCTTAGGTCTCAAAGAACATAACAATAATAATAATAACAACAGCCAACGTTTCAGCACTTATTATATACCAGGTGTGGTGCTGAGGACTTTCCATATGTTAGATAATTTGGTTTAAATCTCACAACCACCACTTAGTGTAGGTTTTATGATCTCTATTTTACAGACAGAGAATCTGAGGTCTGGGGAGATTAACAACTTTCTCCAGGTCACACAGCTGGGACATGAGGAAGCTGGGTGGGTTCTGACACCTATGACATACCAGGCTCCCATCCATCCATTCATTCACTCATTTAAGAAGCATTTTTTTGTGTCAGGCATTGTGCCTAAACAGAGTGGGGTCCTGGGTTTCAGGGAGGTCGTAGTCTGGGAGTGCAGTAACGTAAATAAAACTTCCCCATACAGTGAGATGAGGGCTGAGCTGGGCGTGATGAGAGCACCTCAGATGGGCGCCTAACCCGGGCTTCCTGGAGGAAGTGAAACATGAGGGAGCCCCAAAGCCCCTGCACGAGCTGACCAGAGGCGGTGTGCAGGGAAGACTGGTCCAGGGGGTGCGGGTGTATTCCAGCACATCCTGGCGCAGACAGGGCTGGGTATGCCAAGAACTGCAGGCCAATCACTAGTCGGACTGAAGCACGGAGTATGATGGATGGGGGAGCCACTGAAGGACTTTTAAACAGTGGAATGCCATGATTGGATAATGTAAAGACCACTGGATGTGTTGTTGAGAGTAAAGGAGAGCAAGAATGGAAACAAAAACATGACCCAGGAGACTTTTGTAGGGATCCAGGTGAGAGATGGGTGATAGTGAGAAGGGATGCCCAAGGAAGTATTGAAGAGGTTTATTGAAGGACGTGCAAGTGATTAGGTGGTATGTGGCAGGGGTGGTGAGGGAGAGGGAAGGGTGGAAGAGGAGGCTCCCATCTTTGGCTTTTGATGGCCTGGAATAGATGGTGACGCTGTTCCCTTTGATAGGGTTTGGCTTTCTGCACTTCTGATGAGGGGTCAGTTGCTGCTCTTTGTGTCATTGCTGTGCAGGCTGGTGCAGTCGTGGGGAATTGATGAGTAGTCGTGTTGCAGAGGGACTGGAATGGCCCAGAGCACACTGCGGAAGCAGAGTAGTGTGGCCAAGAGAAGGATAGGGTTCATCTGCCAGAGGGAGTATGTTCACAATTTACGAGATTAAGCTTTAGGGTCAGACCAATTTGGGTCTGAATCCAGATTCCTAATGTGGGTCTTTCGGTAAGTTACTAAAGCTTTCTGAGCCTCAGTTTCCTCGTTTACAAAACAGGAATATTCATAATGCCTAATTTATTGGATTGTTGTGGGATTAAATGAGTTCAAGGGTATAAAGCACACAGTGCAGTGTCTGACGCAGTGCAGAAGGTGCTCAACACGTCCCACAGTTGTCCCCACCACCACTGCCATCATCACCATCCTGGTGAATTTTGCACAGCCCAGAGACTGGCTGCGAGCCCTGGGGCTCAGACACTTCATGCTCAAGGGCCCTTCCTTTGGGAGCTGACTCTGTAGTAAGCAAGGTCAGGTGCCAAACTGTATATTTCAATGAGTGCTGTAGCTGGCATGGGGTCTAGAATCCTCAAATTCACAAGACGAGGTCATTCTCTCCCCGTAGGCAGAACTATGTGGGCAGCCAAATTATAATCAGGAGGCTGTGAGCAAAGAGCTGGAGCAAATTCATTGAATCTAATGATTGCCTGCTCTAGGCTAGGCTGTAAACTCACTGCTGAGCTTTCCATCGTGAATGAGACAGGCCAGCCCAGGGTAATCAGGCCCAGATAACGTGATGCATTCGTTTTCACCACAGACATGCCTTGTCACTGGTTCTATGCTGTGCCAATGTGGCTGGTCCAGGCTCCCTCCCTCTGCACAGAGCCCTGGTGGGTACTGCTCAGGTCTCTCTTAGCAACCCTTCTTCTATGTTTCCATGATCAATTAATATGGTCTTGAGATGTGGGGCTTATATCTTTAGTAAGGTCATGGCCAAATCTTTCTGGCCTAGAAGCTTTTTTGTCCCCATGTGGTGATTTTTCATTTCTCTGCGCTGATCCATCAAGTGTCGATTTCACAGTTTAACTTTTAGAAGGCAATTTTATTCCTTTTCTTTCCAACTTCTTGGCAACGTTCTGTCTCAGAGTTCCATCTCTGGCCCTATGTCAGATGCAGAAAAGAATGTTTAGTGCATAAATGCATTTTTAAGCTCTTTAAATGTAGATTTGTTGGAACAAACTCAGAAACTTTTTCAGGTATTAGCGGTCTGGCCAGGAAACCAGATGTTATTTGAAGAAAATATGGATGGATTGTCTCTTCACATTTATTAGTAAGTTGAGAAGTACATTTTAGAATTGGATCAACTTCTTAAGATTTTTATTTTGCATCCAGATAGTTATGGAAAATCTCACTGATAGTTACTGTGAATGACTAGAATTTTCCAGGCTTTCTTTTCCATGAGATGATGGAAAAGATTAAATGACTTTACAAGCTTCAGATAAGACAAGCCTTAGCAGAGAATGAGAAATATTAGTAATTGATACTATTTTGTTTTCTGGTTCCAACTATCGTTCCTGACTCCTTGATTAAACTCACAAGTGTTACAGTTGGAAGACCGAAGGAAAAGCAAGAAGATTATTTTCATATTTCAGTCAACATGTTGAACTTTAGGGTGAAGCATGTAGATAGTGAATGAATTTTGTTAGGCCACCAATAACTTACCACTCCCACTTACAAAAGGAAGCTTGGGTGTTGCAATTAATGAAGCCCACTGATGTAGAGTGAGCAGAGCAGCAGTAAGAGAATATGCATTAGTAATCAGGGATAACATCTCAGAAGACTGTTCAACTTCCAATCCTACCTGTTTGGGGATTGTTTGATAAGAGATGAGAAGAAAAAATGTCTTAACTGGATGGCAAGTGGATTCTTGTTCAAATTCTGATCAGTTCATGTTTGTCTCGGTTTTCCCAGAGTATTCTATTTCTTGGAGAACAGAATATCATCTCTCCTCTCTATTTTCACAGAAAACACCTAGTGTAGTGGAGAAAGCATGGGCATCCATTCAGACAGTCATGGGATGTCAAAACATGGCTGCTGATCCTGGCTTCACCACCGCAACGTCCTTAACTTCTCAGAATGTCAGTGTTTTTCATCCTTTAATTTAATTTTAATGGTATCTACAACGTGATACTAAATAATATTTAGGCCTTCTTAAAGCTGGGTACAGACAAGATTAAATGATACCACAAAAGCACTAACTGCGCTTTTATTATATCAGTCTGATTCTTGTTTCTACCACGATGCAGTGAACTTGACATAGATTCTAAAATTTTTCTCAACTTGTTTCTTTGTGTAGATAAATTCAAAGTTCTTTTTCTGCCTTCTCCTCTTCACCTAATCTTGTGTTCGTGGGTAGAGAAAAGAAGAGGCTACCCTTAAATGCTTTGGCCGCAAACCCAGACGGCTCTCCTCTCCGTGGAGCCTGCCTGTACGCTAAGGGACTGAATAGGACTGC